AAAACAGGTAAAAACGATGGTGACTCTGATTAAGACAGGTCAAAAGCTGGCAGGAAAATGGAAGAAAAAAATTGGCACTAAACAGTGAAGCGCACATGGAAGATTAATCAAGGATGACCAGAAAAATTATAAACTTAGGAAGAGGAATATATATAATTCACATTTCACAACTGCCATTGAAGCAAAAGGGCAAATTCTCTTAGAGGGAAGAAATTAAGAGAGAGGCCTGGAAGGAGATAAAGCCACAGTCTGCGTCATGGCTGATCAAGATGATTCTTCAGCAGGGCTACTTTGTCCATACCACTAAGAGACGTGACCTAGCTAGGTCAAAAACATTTTGTGAGGGGCAGATTAAAGGAGATTTAAAAATAAGTACAAATTAAGTTCACGTTGAGAAAATGTTAAGTAAATATTGAACAGGCTTAGTTTTGAATTTTTACAGGACAGGGACAGCCATCCTTGCTTTTGCTGGGTTACTTCTATTTCAGTTCTTTGTGTTTGTTAAATTTCATTTGTCCATGTGTTAAACATTATATAAATTATTTAAATAGAGTTATTATACAATTATAATATTTTATGAGAGTTATACTCAAATACGGTTACTTAATTCAAATTAAATTAAAATCAGGATTACTTTTATATATATACGCACCTCTATGTAACATGGACCATACACAATTTAGCTCGTTTTTTTCTCTCTTTTTATTCGTCCAAATTTAGCCGAGTTTTTCTCTCTAGCCTGACCTAATGGAGAGAATATTGTCTGCGACGGATAAGCAGAGACTGGTTTCCTCCTTTCTAGAGATCGCCGTTGGTCAAACTGCAGAAACCGCCACGCAGTTTTTGCAAGCAACAAGTTGGAAGCTGGATGAAGCTATTCAGCTGTTTTATGTGGGTAATGAAGGTGGTGTGGTTGGATCGTCTTCAGAGCCTCGACAAGTGGAAAATATGGATTCTCGGGCCTATCAAAATTCTGGTGCGTTGAACGAACATGATAATGTTGGATCCACTGGTGGAGATGAAGGACGCCCTCCTTTACCTGTGGTAAGGGAGATACTTCATGCTGATGCAATGCTATATGGTGCATCAAGGCTGGGATATCCTCCCCAAGAATTCCGTAATTTTCATCGGGAAACGATACGCCCCGGTGTTTGGCAATCAGATGAAGGTGCTTCTTCCACAGTAGATGCTCCTCGAGATAATCTTTCCTCTTTATTTCGTCCTCCCTTCCATTTGATGTTTCAAGGACCATTTAGAGAGGCAAAAGCTGCTGCATCTCTTGAGGACAAGTGGCTCGTTGTGAACTTGCAATCTACGAAGGAGTTCAGCTCACATATGCTTAATCGAGATACCTGGGGAAATGAAACAGTTTCTCAAACCATTAAAACCAACTTTATTTTCTGGCAGGCGTATGATGATGCAAGTGAGAGCAGGAAAGTTTGCGCATATTACAAACTAGATTCGATTCCTGTAGTGCTCGTTATTGACCCGATAACAGGAGAGAAAATGCGCTCCTGGTGTGGAATGGTTCAACCTGAGAGCTTGCTGGAGGACCTGCTTCGATTCATGGATGGTGGCCCGAGGGATTATCATGCAACTCTGTCTCACAAACGTCCAAGAGGAAGCTCAATTGCTCCACAACAAAAAGTTAGAATGTCAACAGATGAAACCATGGAAGATGAGGAAATGCGAAGAGCAGCAGCAGCTTCTTTGGAGAACGTGAAAGACAAGGAGGAACCATGCTCAACTAAGAAGCCTACATATCCACCTCTGCCTGAAGAACCTAAGGGTGATAAGAGTCTCCTATGTAGGGTTGGAGTCCGTCTTCCTGGTGGATGTAGGGTGCAGAGAAATTTTCTCCGTACTGATTCCATACAGCTACTGTGGTCATTCTGCTATGCTCAACTTGGTGAAGCTGAATCAAAGCCATTCCGCTTGACCCAGCCGATCCCAGGAGCTTCAAAATCTCTGGATTATGATAGTCAATTAACTTTTGAGGAGTCGGGGCTCGCCAATTCTATGATCACGGTTGCATGGGAATGAATATTGCGAAGCCGGCACTATATATGTCCCTGTTTGTTGATTGGTGTTGCTCTTCAAGGAGTTTAATTATGATGATTGGGGGTTAAGGAACCATCAACTTTATTATGTACATACTATTGCAGTTTGTTTATTTATTTAAGTCAGTACTCTTATGTCTTCAATACTAATGCGCGCAGTTTGTTTATTTATTTAAATCAGTACTCCTATTTCTTCAAGTTACAATTTATTTATTTATTTATTTAAAAAATATACCGTTATCGTAACTAAATAATAATACTGAATAAAAATCTTCTGGTTTTATATTTAACAATAAACTTCCTTTTTTTCTCAGCAATCTTAGAAACAAGTTTAGCTCCCTCCCATTTCAATGAAACATAACGTCACCCAAAAAACCTTACATTGCTATATAAAAACATAACAGACAACTATCAAAAGGAAAACATGACAATCATAGGTAAAAACACATCATGATCAATCAGATCAAGAGAAGACAGAAAAATCTGGTATTGAGTTGGGAGAAATTTTCTAACAGAAACGTTAAGTTAATTATGCAACGTGGCAAACTTTGGTAGGAGGGACAGAGAGGGCACAAACTCGGGCAGAAGATGCCCATTCAATAGTATTTAGAGTTATAATAACTCTTTAAGTAAATAGATTGTCTAATTATCATAACACCAAGAATGAGACCACGAAGAGCTCAGTCAAAATCTACTCAGACATGGTGCATAATGTGAACAGAAGACAAAATTAGAGACATTAGCTTCCTCACCAGTCTCCCGGTAGCAGATAAGAAGCTTAAAATCTTCAGAGCAGATTTTAGTGATCCGGACAGTTTCGATGCAGCCGTGAGGGATGTAAAGGGGTCCTCCATGTTGCCACCCCCGTTGAATTCCAAGACAAAGAACCTGAGACAGTAGTGACCAAAAGGGCAACCGATGGAGGACTTGGCTTCTTGAAGGCATGCTTAAGAGTTAGAAACAGTCAAGAGGGTTGTCTACACCTCTAGCATTGCCGCAGTCCTGCGCAACAACCAGGATGTAGACATGATGGATGAGAGCTTTTGGACTGATGTCGATTTGGTTAGGAAAAAGAAGGCACTCGGAATTTCTTATGCGATTTCCAAGACTTCGGCAGAAAGGGCAGCTATTGAATTTGCGGACAAACATCGATTAGATCTGGTGACAGTCGTTCCTTCCTTGGTTGTACGTCCTTTCATCTGTCCAAAGTTTCCTGGTTCAGTGCACTCATCATTGGCTCCAATCCTAGGTGTATAAGTTGTCTTTCTTACATTAAAGACTTCAAATTAACGGTTAAATTTTTTGGTTAAAAGTACCATGTCAACAAATTTTTAAATCATAACTCAGTATCTCCGGGATCAGGATGCGTTGATGAGTAGTCTCAATGCATCAATGTTGATATTGATGATTTGTCAAGGGCACATATTTAATCGCTTGAGCATCCCGATTGCAAAAGGCAGGTATAACTGTTCATCAGACACAATAACTCTTCGAAAGATAGCTCAAATTCTTTCCACTAGTTATCCAGGAATCTCAATTCCAGCAGCAAAGTGAGTAAATTTTCAATTTATGCAATCCTAAAAGTTTCATCTGCAATCTATTGAGGAGAAGGATGGCTTGGGTTAAGCGAGATCCAGGGCAAACCCGGAACATTGTGTGATAAACAAGGCTTCAGCCAACAAAAAGCCCAAGTTTTAAGACCCACTCTTCTGTTTCATCTAAACTAGGGCTGTCCCCTAGGAGGATTCTAATTCTAAATGTTCCCTACAAGCCCAATTGGATTTGCAAACCGAATTTGAACATTCGAGGATGCATTGCATGGGAGTCTTTCTTTCTTTCATATTGCTCATTCTCGTGGACAATATTGGCTGTCGGGCCCATCATTTGCCCAAACATCATGAACGACCAACGCAAGAGGGAGAATGGCACACATCGAAGATCCCGAATTAGAAATGCTGAACATCGAGTGATCGTTTTTTTTTTATTAAAAATCTAAATATACAGAAATAAATTAATTTCATAAACTCCTTTCACTTACGGGATTCAAGTACCTTTAAGTAATCAGAGTACTCACCAAATCTTTGATAGAACCATTCAATACTGTAAAAGTGTAAAGAGAGAGAGAGAGAGAGGTATTGTTTAGGTCCTATTTGTCACCAAAATTTCTAGATGTAACGTGTACAAAAATTTCAATGTCGCTTAAGTCATATATTTTTCTGATTTTAAAAAGTGTTCCAAGTTGGGTTATTTTTCCAAAAATCTACAATCAAATTTGACAACTCCAAAACTTTGGACCCTTCTTAGTTTCCAGTATTATTCTAGAAATCGTACTAATTTGTCTGGAAATAAGTAACAATATTACTCAGAAAAAAGGGTTCTTAATTTTGAATAATTAGATGCCATGAGATTGGGAATTTGGCGCGGTCAATTTCAGCGCCTACCGACCTAGCTAGGATCCTCAAAGGAATTTCCTAGGGTTGTTCATGTAGAATTAATATGACATTTGAACTTCTAGAATTACGTGTCCCTAAAGATTATTTCACTCTCAGGAGTTGTCTTTTTTTTTTTTAACTAGACAGGGTTTAGTCCTGAATTATTGGAAATAATAATAATGAAAGACTTATTCCCTACGAAAAAAAATTAAGGAAAAAATTAACATTAAATTCTCAAGTGAAAATCCATTATTAATGATCAATTAAAAAAAAAGATAGTTATGTTCTGAAATACAATACGAATGTCGTAATATATTGATTAATTACTTGTGTCGTCCGTCGTCATCGTATACGCATTCACACAGCAACCAGTCAAAAGAACACCTATTCAGGTAAAGAAAAAGCATGGCGGTGACTCCCAAAAGCTGGCTGGAAAAGGGTGAAAAACTCAACTCCGAACGTGCACGTGGGACTGGAAGTTTCTACTCACCAATATATATATAGCAAGATGCTAAGAGGAAACTCACATCTCAAAACAAACAATACTGAGTCTGACAGAGTTCGAAGGAAGAGATATAGAGATTATAAGATGGGCGGAGATAAAGGAACTGTCTGCGTCACAGGAGGGACCGGCTACATCGGCTCCTGGCTGATCAAGGTGCTTCTTGAGCAGGGTTACGCTGTTCATACCACTATTAGACCTGACCCAGGTAAGATTAGTGTTTGCAAGCTTAATCGAAATTGAAAACAATTCTTTTTTTTGGTGTTCAGATTTATGGAGGGAGTAATTGAGAATATAAATTAAGACTCTAAGTTGAGAAAATGTTGACAAGGTGAGGAGAGCTAGTTTGGTATTTGGATTGATTGAAATTATTACAGGACAGAGATATTGTTGGACATATATTGATATTTCATAATGTTTTAATATTTTACATTGTCGAAATTAAAAAGAAATAAGTGCTTTAAATAAATAAACTCATTATAAACTACTTGTGTTGAGTTTAATACTCTGAAGGTTTAGTAGTTTCTTTTTTCCCACAAAAAAGGCCTAAATTTCTTAAATATGAGACCACAGAGTTCAGTCAAACTTTACTAAACATGATTGGTGCTTCAATATATCCAGGAAACAAGAGGGACGTTAGCTTCCTCACTACCCTCCCAGGAGCAGATGAAAGGCTTAAAATCTTCAGAGCAGATCTTAGTGATCCGGAGACTTTCGGTGCAGCCATCGAGGGATGCAAAGGAGTTCTCCATGTTGCCTCTCCCATGGATTTCCAAGACAATGAACCTGAGGCAGTAGTGACCAAAAGGGCAATCGATGGAGCACTAGGCATCCTGAAGACATGCTTAAGATCAAAAACAGTGAAGAGGGTTGTCTTCACTTCTAGTATTGCCTCAGTGTATTTCAACAAGAAGGACGTAGACATGATGGATGAGAGTTTTTGGACTGATGTGGATTACGTTAGAGAACTTAAGTCATACGTAAGCTCTTATGCGATTACCAAGACTTTGACAGAAAAAGCAGCTCTTGAATTTGCAGCAGAACATGGAATGGATCTGTTGACGGTCATTCCTCCTTTGGTTGTCGGTCCCTTCATCTGTCCGAAGTTAACTGGTTCAGTGCGCGCAGCATTGGCTCCGATTCTAGGTATGACTTCAAATTTTGTTTATTTATTTATTTAATATTTACTGAAATATTATGAACTTTTTGTGTCCACTATACTAAAACGGTAAGATTGATATCTGTTCAGGG